TGAAATTTTCTCTATTTGCGCTTTAGCCCCAACTAAATTCTCCAAAATTGCACCAGAACCCCTGTTGACCAGCTTTGACCAGAGTTAAGCAGTGTTGACCAGCTTTACACGCACCAATCATGGCTTGACACGTGGCAGCCCTCTTTCTTCCAATTAAGTTTTCAGATTTGGAAAAAGGGCTTCCCCTTTGCTCCTGGCGGCTCTTCTGCGTCTGTTTGGGTTGTTCTTTTGAATTGCAGGTTCGAAGATGGATGGCAGTGGCAAGGAGGTGAGCACGGTGACTGTGCGTGACGGAGGCGATGATGCTCGTTGATCGTGGCGTCGTCGTTAATGGCGCGATGAAGGTGGATGTTGCGGCCTTGCGATTGACGAAGGAGAGAGTGTTATCGCGGCGGCTGGCGGTGCGACGGTGATATGGAAACCTCGCGTCGGCGCGGATGGAGAGGATGAAGATGACGGTGGCTGTTGAAGAAGCTTGCGTTAATGAAGGAGAGGCGCTGTGGTGGCCTCGCGAGAATGATCGAACGGTGTGATGAAGATGATTTCGGAGGAGGCGGCAAGGTGTCCCGCGAGGAGATGTCGCGATTGGGTTCCGAGAATGGAGAAGATGAACGGAGGTCGCGGCGTGGTGGTGAAGGCGACACGGCAGTGGCTGTTCGGTGATGGAGCGGCGTTGGGGCTTGCGGCGGCGGAGCGGCGCGGCGGCAGTTGACGGCATTGGCGGCTAGGGTTTCTGTGGAGAAGGTGGAAGATGATGCTCATGGGTTAGGGCTGAGGTGGCGGCACATGGTTGGCTAGATCTGTGTGGGGAGGATTTGGACATGTGTCATGATCTGGTGGAGTCTAGCTTAGGAGGGGTATGGGTAGGGAAATTTAGGAGATGTATTTAGAATAGGGTTACTGTTTGGCTCAGTATTGGGCCTGTTTAAGAGAAGAGGGGTGTATGTAGGAAAATTGGGAGGTGCAAGGGTAAAAGTTGTCTGTTTGGCCCATCTGTACATTATTTTCCAAATAAAATCTGATTTTGGGCCTTGAATTGCCATTTGGACAATTAGAACTTATATTCTCAGCTGCACAAATAAACATTAGAACATCCAAGATAATTTATGCGCTAAAACTTACTTTTTACGTCTCTTTATTTTCCAAACCCAATAATTCCAATCATCACAAATTCACTTAAAATCAACCATTTAAACACAATTATCTGATCAAAATTTTAATTTTCAAACATAAATGTGGGCATAAATATGCACTCATCACAATTGAATGAGTTAAACAAAGCATGCATAATGTGTAGAAGAAAAACCCTAACAATTAATGAAGCAAAGCATATAAAATATAGAACCAATTCAATACATGTGAGTTTCAAAGGATTACGTCGGTTCCCCAACAACAATGGAGGTTTAGTTCACCATAGACATGGTGAAACTAGATGAAAATAATGAAAAGAATGAAAGATAAAACCCTAGAATTTGAAGAAAGGAGCTTCCGCATCCAAAATCCGCCTCTAAGGGTGAAGAAAGTGTGATTTCGTCTCTTTCTGTCCAAAGCTATCAACTCTAGGTCGACTAAAACCTTATATAGTTTATTAAAAATTACAAAAAATAGGCCCAAGCCCAATTGCGCTCATCGGTAAGTGCGGTTCTTCAGAATGAAGCTCAGCGGCAATTTTAACCCTCAGCAGTAACTGCGGTGCTTCAAAATGCCGCTCAACAGTAAAAGTTACGCTCAGTGGTGACTACGGCTCTTCTTTTGTGCACTTTTACTTCTTTTCCTGAGTCCAACTCCTTATTACTTCAACTTCTTTCATTTAATTCATCTTAATTCTTGCCAAAACAAGAAAAACCTAGCATAAAACACATCCAACTCTTATTTCCAAAACTTAAGCAAAAACATGATTCCAAGCTAGTTTCTAAGTCATAAAGGTTGTTTTTAATATCAAAATTAAGTATAAAAATAACGGTTTTTCAACTGTTATCAGTACTCTGAGTACAACCAGATCCCTATGTATGCACCCGACTAGGAGACTTGGCGGCCCCCTCTCTCAATTCTTCCATGGTCTTGGGGGCCCAACGGCAGACGCTATCCTTAAAGGGTCCTGGCTTGAGGGCGAGCAGAGTGTACATGAGGACGAGCTCAAGGTTAAGTCCTTTATCCCGCCGCACGGTTTTCTGGTATCTATCCATGAATGCTTTCAGACTTTCCTCTTTCCCTTTGCTTGAGATTCATCAGCTCGAAAATAGTCAAGTCATGAGTGCTACTACTAGCGAACTAGCGGTTAAACATCGTCGTAGTCCTTCAAAGTTCTCAGTGCAATTGGGAGGCAACGAGTTAAACCATTCAAGGGCATCCCCTTCCAGCGACACAGAAAATGCCCTGCACCAGATGGCATCGCAGCCGACGCGGAACACCATCGTGTTGGTGAAGGTCTTGATGTGAGCCTCGGGTCAGTCATCCCATCATATATCTTGAACTGTGGCGGAATGAACTGTTCAGATATGTGGACGTCCATGATCGCTTGAACAAAGGGTAGAAGGGTGGACGAGCTCTCGGCCTTCACCATCAGTTGTTTGTTTATAGCGGCACTCTCAGCGTGTACGAACTTGGCTCTACTCCCATCCATTCCAGGCTCAATCAGTTTCCATGTCTCGTCCCATATACTGCTATGTTCGATTTTGTCTTCCTGAGCGGCCTTGACGTGCTCCTCTCCCACCTTTTCACCGGCTCCCGAGCCCTTTTCTTTGGCAATCCGACCTGAGCATTCTGCTCGGACGACTATCAGCTCTGCTTCGTGGCGCTACTGCATATCCTCCATTTTTTGCTGCAAAACACCTTCACAATTAACTATCTTTAATTGTCCGGTCTCGCTCTAAGGTCTCCTGTCTTGCTCTTTCGTCCGGAGATATACCTGTTAAAAGGATGCCAAAAACAGTATGTGTATCGTTCGATAACTCAATATGACAGTAATAAATGCACAATAAATGTGAATCACCTACCTCTTATCTTTGACATGTATTTATAGTTTTCGTCATTGAAATTAACGAGACATTAATCATGATCCATTTTCTGTACAATAACTTTAATCATTGCTTACCTTAATCTTCGTGTAAATAACTACAGAATTTTCTCAATCATTCACTCGTATCGGTATGATCAAGATAATTCTAGAACCGTCCAGCCAGATGAACTACTCCCGTGACATTATGATCATCCGTACATCTGGTACAAAAGGGACTAATTAATTTCCTATCAAAGAATCAAACTAGTACAACATCAAACTCTTTAAGAAAAAACAAGATTACGAATTTAAGAACATGATGATGCATTCATTAACAATAGATGTGAATTTTTTAGCTTTTTTTTAATAATAAAAATGGAAACTACATATCAGAGAACAGGCCAATCAGAATGGCTCACGCACGGGACCACATATTCTTAGGTACACCCTATCCCATGAAGCCTCACGCAACCATTGTCTGCTAGTGACACTACAATGATGCCACATGGTCGGCGCATGTTAGCATTCCACACCCACATAAGTTGCGCGTCGATAAACATCCGGTAAATCCGCCCCTCTCTGCCACTCTCCGGTGGCGCAATCATAAAGCAAAACAAAGCCCTCTTTCACCCCTCTCACTTCATTCAAACTCTGAATCAGCACCACCTTATCGCCAATACCTACAAAATTAAACCTCATTCTCGTGTCGACTCTAACTTGAGCCGGTAGTGGCGGGCTCTTTATCCTACTCCACTCTCCAAATCCTTTTCCACTGCCGCTTTTCTTCCGTAAGTGAAAGCTCCAAAACGAAAACTCCACCGCGTGGCTGGTGAGTACGTACAAGCGCCCAGCCGCAGCGCAAGCCGCCACCACACAGCCTCCGTTAGGAACAGTGCGACTTCGGAGCCACACACGCGCCTCCACGTCAAATAGATCCATGGAACTCGCATACGCCGCGTGGGCCTCAGTTCTACAAGAAGCGCGTGGGAGCAGGTTCTGTGTCGATGCGCAAATTTTCAATCCGCCGATGACATAAAAGATCCCATCAACCGAGACTCCAAGGCAGCCGTAACGCATACGTGGCGCGTTGGAGACCACGACCCACGTGTCGGTTTCGGGATCGTACTCTTCGACTGCCGCCGTCCGGGAACTTCCACCGGCAACGTAGATTTTCCCGGCGACGGAAGAGAGAGCAAATTTTTTGCGCGCGAAAATCGTGGCAGCGCCCATTGAAACCGACGCAGTCCACGTGTCGTACTGCAGCGTGGTGCTTCTGCCGACGAGGTAGATCCTGGGACCTATGGAGCACGCGCGCGCGTGGGCGACTAGGAAGTGGAATTCGTGGAGCGAAATGGCGTCGAAGCAGGGAACCAAAAGAGAAGGGAGCCAGGCGGCGTCGAGGAGCGTGGCGACAGAGAGGCCTCGGTCAGTGGCAGCAAGGACGACGGTGGTATGGCGAAGTAGGTGGAGGCGACGGCGGAGATAGGAGAAGGCGGGGGAACGGAGGAGGCGGGACCAGCGACGACAAACGAGGGAGAGGGCAGGGAGGGAGGCGGGGGGCACGCGGGAGAGGCAGTCCAAAACGATGTCGTCGGGAAGCGAGGATAGGGTGGTGACGGGCGCAGGGGTGTTAGTGTGGGGCTGCGGTGGTGAGGGGAGTTTTGCAACGGCGTCATTTGGGCTGGGGAAGCATGACTTCATGAGCCATGTGAAGTGGCGAGAATTGCAGCTCTCTCTTTCTCTCTCAGAACTCATTAGTCGACTGAAAGATTTTAGAGAAAGAAAGATTTTAGGGGGAGAAACAGCGATTCAACGAGCGAACGGGTCATGCTAAAATACTTGTCAACAAGTAAAACTTTAAGAAGGATTTTAATTAATTGAATAGTTTTTAATATTTTACTAAAGTTTATTGATTATATTAATTGAAAATTTTCAATACATGTATTAAATCGTATTTAACTGTTTTGGAACTGAAGTACTGTTTTATTTTTTTGGTTTTAATGGCAATGAACGTTGGATTTTACTGAATTGAAGTGGGAAAATGGGATATAGTGTAACTCTATTTTACCCTCTTACTTTTAAGCAAATTATTGCAAAAGTAAGAAATGATGAATATATATTTTTTAAGAGGATGAATTTTTTGTTGTAGAAGCTGACAATAAAAGAATAAAGATCACGAACAAATGATTCTCCGAGGTGTGTAGATCACTGTCTTTAAGAACTTATCCGCGGTGTATTGCATAAGCTCTACAAGATATAACAGGAACTTCTAAAAAATTTTTGAGAATCTTAGAACTAGCAAAGTTCTCTAAAAAGAGAATAAAATAAACCCAAAATATTTTTAGGGAAAAAAGAAAGGGAAAGAATGAAAGCAAGAGAAGAAAGAATGAGAGAAGAATGATTTATGATGTTGTGTTTTGGAGTCAATGAAGTGCTTTATTTATAGAGCTAGTGAACGAGGCCCATGATCCAAAATATCTAGCAAAATATTTGCTAAAGAAATGATTTTTTAATAAAATCAGAACGTTAAAATAAAATAAGAACGTTGGGATTGTCTTGTGGGGAAAGATATTCACTGAATAATATCTAAACCAACTCTTGAGCCTTGCGAGATGGCATTTGACGAAGGAGAGAGAAAATGTTTATTCAACAACGTTTCTCAACATTTTCGGAAGACCTTTTGCAATATTAATATAACAATCCCCCACATATTGCAAAACTCGAGAAAGAAAAGAAAATTTTCCTGGGTTTTATAAGATGTAAAGTTTTAGAGCTGGTATAGTAAGCTATATGAACCAATCCTAGATCGAGAAACTTAACACACAATGTAGTTGATATAACAAGCTATATGAACCAAAGATACTTGAGTGTGTTAGAGGTTTATGCCAAGATCTCATGCAAGCGACCCCACTTGACACTCATATAAGTGATTTCATCAAATGTATGCTGCAAATCATACACCACCCATAAGGGATATGAAGATCATTAAAAACTTTGTTTAATTACAAAGTTTAACCTCTCAATAATGCAGTCTCTAGCACTTTCACACACACACCATAGGAATGGACATATTTGATTTAAAATCAAATTAGTGCTATCAGAACTAACAAATGACTTATTTTTACCCATATGAACCTTATTCATGGGATCTACAATCACAAAGGTTGGGTTACCATCACTTGTTTGTTTGCTAGTGGCTTAAGTCCCATTCCCCTCGATGTTTCTAAGATCATATTTCTTCCCAAGGGTCTTGTCACAGGATTTGCTACATTCCGTTCTGACTTCACATAGTTAATGGAAATAATCTCACTCTTTAACAGCTATCGCAATTGGATATGTCTATTTTTTCCATTGTAATTCTTGTTTTTAGCTATAGTTATTGCCGATTGGCAATCACAGTGTATTGACACCGATGGGGTTGGTTTCATTCCTAGTGGAATGTTTGATAAGAAATTTTTCAAACACTAAACCTCAATACCAGCCATCTCAAGAGCGACAAACTCAGATTCCATTGTTGATCTTGCAATAATTGTTTGTCTGGCTGATCTCCATGTAATCGAACCACCCCCAAGAGTGAATACATAACCACTAGTGGATTTTGTCTCATCTGAATCAGAGATCCAGTTAGCATCACTGTACCCTTCTACTACAGCAGGAAATCCACTATATTCAATGGAATAATCCATTGAACCTCTTAAGTATCTAATAAGCCTGGAAAGTGCATATAGTGAGAGGAAATTGTATTATTTAAAGGGTTATGTATAACATTTTCTTCACAAGAGTTTGTTACTAGCATTTCTGTTAATGTTATCTTTTCACAAAGCACGAGAATGTCTGAGACTGTAATGGACCCCATAGTGTAAAGATCACAGCTTTATAATTCTTAGCAGGACAAATAGAGTGCCAAAATAAAGGAGAGGATTGATAAATTTGTTGGAATTTTAGGAGTCCCCACATGTTACAACTATCATTCTACTTGTTGATATAGAGCATGTTTGTTCTTTATAAATTGTTTTAGCCAACTAACCCTTATGCAAATTATGTTTTGCATTATTGTACTATGATTTCAGCAGCTGAACTATATTGAAACTGAAAGCATCTCTTTGAGTCATTTGTAGCCTTAAATTTCAATTTCAGTTTGTTCATAGTCTTTTGAAGTAGTTTTACTTTTGTTTTGGTCCAATTTAATCTGATTCTGCTTTGATTTTCGATTTTCTTGAGTTTAGAGTCTTGTGAAAGCCATATATCAATCAATCAAGGAAATGAGAACATGTTCTAGACTTGGTGATATGAGCTGAAGCACTAGAACATTAATTCTGGTTTTAAAATCTACTTCAAATGCTAATTATGGTTTAAGCTTTTGAATCTATTTTCAGTTGAAGATTTTGATTTTCGTGCTTTGTACAACATTGTTTAATGTTGTTGAAGATATCTAAAGGTGTAGCAAACCATAACAAGCAATGAAACGCAATATACAAAGCTTGGTTGCTCAAAACCAGTAGCATTATCTCTGTTTCAGTATTCAATAAAGGTTTTCACTGTGCTTACATCTTTGACTTGTGTAATTTGAATTTAATCATGCTAAGCTTCATTGTTCTAGCTTAGTTCAGTGCATTTATACTTCCTTATGTTTGTTCCAGTGTTGCTTAAGCTTTTGAAAAAATTAAACCTGATTTTGGTGATGTGATGGAGTGCTTTTCTACATTTTTGGCCATTAGAAAGGTCTGATTTCGAATGCTAGCCTTTGTATATTGTTTGACAGTTTCAATAAGTCTATAATAATGTTTAAAAGTTCAGTTAGTGATATTTTGGCCTAAGTGTACAATTGTCTTATATGTCATCACATTTTGAGTTAAAATTGGAAATGAAGTAGTGAATCTGTGTTGCAAGTGGTTTTTAACCACTAGTGCAGAAAGGGCTTTAGACGTCCGTTCTTTTGGCCTTTTGACGTTCGCCCGACGTCTATGTGGGTGACGTTACTTAGACGTCCGTTGTGTCAGGAAGGACGTCTATATAGACGTCCGTCCTGACACAATGGACGTCTATATAGACGTCTGTTGTGCAAGACCGGACGTCTATATAGACGTCTGCTGTGTTAAGACGGACGTCTATATAGACATCCGCCTCCTCCCTCCCCAGACGTCTACCTGGCTGAATTGTTTGTGGTAGGGGCTGGGGGTGGACGTCCGTTTGTGCACTGCCAGACGTCTGTAGACGTCCGACTGTACACTAACAGACGTCTACTGATAACAGTTGAAAAACTGTTATTTTCATGCTTAAAGTTGATACTAAAAGCAACCTTTAACACTTAGAAACTAGCTTGAAATCATGCTTTTGGGTATATTTTTAGAAATAAGAGAGCTGGACAGGTTTATGCTTGATTTCAATGTTTTATCCAGGTTTTAAGGTGAATTTGGTGAAAGAAGTGAAGAAGGATAGAGATGGAATCAGAAAAGACATAAAAAAGTGCAAAAGGAGAAGCCGTAATTACCGCTCAGCGATAGTTTACCGCTGAGCGGCACTCAGAAACCCACGTTGGCTCCGCTGAGGGGTGAAAAGGCCGCTGAGGGGAGGAAAACAACTCACGCACTTACCGCTGAGCGGTAGTTTACCACTAAGCGGCACTATTTTGGGCTTGGGCCTAATTTTCTGTAATTTTATAATAGTATATAAGCTTTAGGACGTCCTAGGGTTTGTATCTTTGGC